CCCCGCTTCGGTAGCCCGACGACCTGCGCGCGAAGTCTAGCACTTTACGGTAGCACAGTTTAACGAGGACCAATACCGCACACCCTCGGTCCCTACGCAGACTGATCGAAGTGGTCACCCACCCGCACACTGACCGTAGCCAGTGATGCTTGACTTCGGTGATCTGCTGGGAACCGTGTCTTAACGATCAGTCCACTGCGGGACAATTTTATACTTGACCTAGTTATTCTATGAAATAAATGATAGACCATTGAAGTGAAAAATAAGCAATTTCAAAGTTATTTTATAAAGTAGTTGATCGTAATTATCTAAAATTTTTCGAAAAGCACATTTTACCCCTATTACGGATAACAAATAATAAGGAAAAGCAGATGATATAATTTATTGTTGCTCATATTGCTCATATCAATAACTACGTCTAAAGGCAACGAAATAAAGCGTACACACACACACACAGAAGTCATTGCAAAGCAATATAAAGCTATTCGAAACTGTCTAAAGGCATCTAGAACCGGTTCAAAGAACTTTTATTATTCTATAGAATACCTAATTCCGTAGAATTCAATAATTTTATATACTCTGATTTTGTCTAGTTATTTCATGAAATACCTAGTTAATCTACGAAATAATGGATTTCCCACTTCAACGATAACATATATAACATTTTATCTTAAGGAATTGTCGAGATTTTAAAGCTGACATGCAGCTTAAATACGTAAGAGTTAAAACTTCAAAAATTTCCAGTTCAGTGAGAATTTTTTCACTCCGATAAAAATCTTTACAAATCAATAGATTCTTAATTTTTGCAAATGATTATTAGACCTTACAAGGAAGCGTTGGACTAACTTTTCAAGTATTCGAAAACCCACTCACTACAGCTTTTCTTTTTCACAAAACTGTGGATTTTCTGCATACTGATATTTTGTGTCATTTTAAGAATTAGCATAGATAAAGCTTCCTTACATGTTTACACTTTGTGTTATTTTAATAATTAGCGTAAAGAGACTGATTGATTAAAAACTTTATTCGCTTAAAAATATTACATATTAGAAATAACAGTATGTTTCAAACGCTCAGAAATAGGCGCCCATTTTCAAGACTTGCCAGACGTGAATGAAAAGAAATAAAAGTTATTTGATAACAAAAGCAAAGTCGACAATAAAAAAATTGAAAATTAAAAGTGAGGAACAAAACTAGAAAAAACAAGAGCAGCCGAGAAATAAATAACAGAACAGAAAAACCACAGGAGGCCGAGAGAGGCAAATCAGGGTAAAATGCATTTCCACACGCTATGGAGGAGACGGGGAGAAACTAATGTCGTCGAACTAATGCAGTTTTAATTAGCTCCTCGCCGCATCTCCATAGCTCTTATAAATGCACTTTACCCTGATTTTCCTTATGGTTTTTACTAATTTTGTTTTTCACCTTCATTTTTCCCTTTTTCGTCGGCGACTTTGCATTTTTATTTCAAATCACTGTTGTTTCTGTTCATTCAATTCTGGCACTTCTTAAAAATGATGGCTAATTTTTAAGAGCTTAAAACATGTCAACTGTAATTACCAATTTTTAATTTTTTGAAGCGAATGAAGTTTTTAATCAAGCAATATTTTACCGCTCTAGTTTCTTAGAAGAACTTATTTAGAGGGAATTGCCTGAAGATAGACAAAACTAAAGCTACCAATCATAAATAACAATTACAAACTCGAAGCATTTTTAAAAATTTATTATTTGCATATTATTCATGAAAAAAATTTTTGGTGTGGTATCAGAGCTTGCGGACAACCATTTTTTAAGCAAAAATTTGTATAAACTTTATTAAGAGACAGGAAGCATGCTTTTTTCTTTTGGGAGTTACAGAAAATTTAAAAAATTTCATTTTTTGTTGATAGAAGGTATCTTTTAAAACTAATAAGCTATGTGCCATTGTTTTTTTATTTTATGCAGAATAGGCTAAAATCAGAGTAAAATATGCCACACAAAAATGTTCTTTATGCTCTTCTGTCATTAAAAAAAATATATGCCAAACTAATTTCTGAAACAGTTTTGAAGAAATCATCAAAATATATGCCTCAAATTAAATAAATTTTCCGAAAGCCCTACTCGTGATCTTTCAAAAGATTCAATTTTGAATTTTTTTTTCCTGGCCGACCAGGTGGCCGAGTGGTTAGCGTGTCTGACTATGGACCCATTGGCGGCGGGTTCGAATCCTGCTCAGAGTATGGATGTTTCTTTCTCTCTGTGTGTTTTATGTCCTTTCCTCTTTGTGTGAATGTGACCCGCCCCATAAACTGGTTTGTGGTTGTGTGACGTGGGCGACGCTGCTCCACCGCCATGGCTTCGCCACAGGTGCCCACTGGGTAACGAGAAGAGAGTAGCAGTTCTGGCATTTCTGTGGCCAATGGGACAAACCCCAAGTACCCGTCATTATTAATATTCCTTCGACTCACCGAGAAACTTGGTAAAAAGGATGCAAATTTAGGTGTTCTGCTGAGATCTCGTAAATTCAAAATCAGTATAAAATATTACTCAACTTAAAACTGCGCAGAACTTTATTATAAAAAACATCTTGTACAATTAGAGTGGAACTAAAAAAAACTTTCAACAGAACTCATTTATGAATTGAATGAGTAACAGAGAATGATGTTATACTCTTTGCAAATTAAAATAAGTTGAAAGTCTACGCGATTTCCCCCACTCTCCACACTTCCTCCTGTCCATAACCATACTTTCAGCAAGTCTTTCCCCGAGCAAGTACTGAACCCGAACTTTTTACTGTACCGTACTGTCATGGGAAAAAACGCAAGATTTGGTGATACCATAGCAATGAAGAGGGGGAAGATGTGAAGAGTGCGAAGATAGCGTAACCTTGTAAATGCAATAAAAGTCTCAAAGAGTACAAATTTACTTCTTGGAGACATTTTTTTTTGTCTTTTCGGAGATCTTTTAAAAAATTTACTAGTTCATAGACTTTTTTGAAGATTTTTCAGGAGATATTTCTGTTTCTAAAACGGCAGTGTCTAATGAAATTATAGATGTACTGTCTGTCATACACTCAGTTTCAGGATCTTCTTTTTCCACAATATCTGGGTCAATAAAACCAAAATATGTTAGATCGTCTTCCTCTTTTGCATAAGGAAGTTCACTTTCCGATTCTTCTCTAACTAGTAAATTTTTCTCTGGAGAGGACGAAACACTTCTAATACCACTTTTAAATATTGTTACAGTGTCTGTGTAAGCTTCTTTGGCACCTTTAACAAGTTTAGAACCTGATAAATAACCTTTAATGTCTGATAAAGCGCCTGAAAAACCTGATTTTCGAGGAGATTGTCTAGGGTCGATATTTCTATTTGGGCTCAAACTTCTACATCTTTTCGGTTCCGTGGATTGTTTTGAAGAATATCTTGACGGGCTGGCATAAGCTGCCTCTGATACAGTAATTTCTGGTACATTGGTTCCACCAGTTGCCCCTGCAGCAGTGTCTTCGATGTGTTGTTGCAACGATAGGTTCGTGGAAGAGTCAGACGACGGCATGCGAGAAATAGGATCAATGGTAGATTGTTTCTCCTCTGATGTCGCAGCAGCTTTCCTTTCAGAAGTTTCAATATTTTTTTTAGTTTTTCCTTCTGTAGACATCTAAAAAGAAAAAATTTGAAGTAAATTGAATGAATATAACACGTGTTTTCTAGCTCTTTTCCACATTTAACTTAATCCTTAGGATATCTACGATATACACCGAAGAGCATTACATTATGACCACCCTCCATCTATAACAATGGGCTCTCCCAGGTTTTCATGGTTTCTCGCCCAGGAACAATGTTTTCATGGGGCACATTAGGACCCATAATCCTCATAGAACAATCCCTGACGTCTGTAAGCTACTTGAACATAGTTGCAGACCAGGTTCACCCATTCATGGCAACAGTTTTTCCTGCGGGGGATGGTGTTTACCAACAGGATAATGCACCATGTCATAAGGGTCGAATCGTCGAGGAACATTCCAGTGACTTTCAAGTCATGTCTTGGCCCCCAAATTCACCTGACCTTAATCCAATAGAGCATTTGTGGTCCTACTTGGAAAACCAAATTCGTGCTGCCACGCTACCCCCTCGCAATGTGAGGGAATTGCAGGACCAGTTGGTGAGCGCTTGGTACCAGATACCTCAGACTACCTATCAGCACCTTGTGGAATCAATGCCACGGCGGGTGCTAGCATTTTTGAGGGCTAAAGGTGGTCCTACATGTTATTAGCAGGGTGGTCATAATGTAATGGCTCTTCGGTGTAAATACTAACACTTACATTTATGTAAACTCATTGTCATAAAATTTAGGGATACCTAGAATGAGTTATCAGAATGAAATGAAATTTTAGATACTTTAAGTTAAACGTTGATATAAGTAAAGGATGAAATAAAATCAAAGATAATCATTTACAGCAGGAAAAATACAAATAAATGGAGGTTTTAGAATCCTCTTGGCAGACTCCTATCGCGAATACAGCATAAGATACCGTCAGGTGCTGACGCATATAAGTCCTTTATGGAAATTTTATCTATCCCACCCAAAAATAGGGAATGCGGGGAGACGAACCAATATCTCCTAGAAGGCAGAAGGCCTCAGCATGGGTTGCCATAAACAAGAAATTTAATCCTTTAGTAGTCAAAACGCAATGACATCTTTTGTAATATCGCCACTTCACAGCTTAGTAGCCTGAACTTAGTGACATCTTTCCTATTTTTCCTCCACTCCTCAGTTTATGTTCGCTACGTCAGACTACTAAACTGATCTATGCTGAGGCCTTCTTTCTTCTATGGAAAGTTGGACTAACTCGACATCGTGACTGTTCCCCCGAGTGAGTCGCTGACCGAACACTGGAAGCTAGCACCAGATTGGATCAACCGGCTAGCATTACAATTACAATTTTAAGCATTTGGGTACAACACCTTTATGATGTCCTGTGGCATCTTCCAAGTTGCTATAAAAGCACTGCTGAAACGACAGGGAAGGGTGGTAATGTGGCAGAGGCAATCCTATGACACATTTTCCAATTGTAGCTGAGCATTGTTTTGTTGAAAAATGTCTCCTGGGAGTTATGCCATCAGTGGCAACACATGTGACTCAGTGACTCAGTTATGCCAACACAGTGACAGCACAGTGGCAAGTGACTCAGTTATGCCATCAGTGGCAACACATGTGACATGATGTCACGAGCGCATCACTGGATTGTCATGGTGCCATGGATCAATATTAGGGGTTATTTTGTGGCGTATGTGGTGGCACTCCATACCATCAGATCAGCTCCAGAATGATTGCTGCTGTACAGCATAGGTAGGCTTGACAACAATGGACAGTAAAATTAAAATGTTGAATAACTTGTGAGCTGATAAATGTTGGGATTTTTTAATGAGTGAAAATTCAATCTTAATGGTCATCTCAAATATGCTAATAATTAATGCTAACTTTTGTTACGGATTCATACCACTTTCTATAAATAGATGTTTTTGTTGAAAGATTTGAGTTTTGACCATTAAACTGTGGAGTTATCTGAAATTTGGCAGCTATGGTCACAGTATTACTTTATTAAACAACTTCTTTCCCTTCAAAAATATGCAGATTGGAAATAACAGTAGACATAATTTTTGTGCTTAACAATAGACTCCCATTTTCAAGATTAGCCAGACATGAATTTGAAACAAAAGTGATTTGATTTATTGCCAGTGAAAAATAGAAATAAAGGTTAGAAATAAAACTGGAGAAACCTTAGTAGCCGAGAGAGGATAAAAATGAACATGAAAAAAGCAGAAGAAAAACCACTGTGGCTGAGAGGGGTAAATCAAGGTAAAATGAATTTATACGCGCTATAGAGATGTGGAGAGAAACTGAAACGTTAAGATGGGAATCAGCATTCATATGAATAAAACAAGATTCCAGGGCATTAAGATGAGCTCATGAGACTGGGATGGAAATAATTTTCACATTACCGAAATTGAATTTATGCCGAAGATTTCAACAATGATGCAGCAATTGATTCCTCGCATCCTTGAAAATGGGTGCCTATTTTCGCGCGCTTGATATATGTAGACTTATTTACAACCTCTATATTTTTGAAGTGAATCAAGTTTTTCAATCAATTATTATCTTTCCTCTTCAGTTTTTTGGGATTAGTTATTTTCTATGATCTCAATAGTTTAGACAAGAGGGAGATCAAACACGTGGGGCTATCAATTTTAATTTCACTTTGAGTTTTGATCTTCAAAGTTAATTGTCCATTTACGAAATTTTTGTACCCACTTGGGAAACTCTTTTGCCCAAAGATAGTTTCAAAGAACAAGGGATAATAATTTGTAATAATTATTTAATTTAAAAATAGCGGGGGGAGAGAAATTTGTATTGTAAAAGCATATAAATAATGATTTTAAATTACAAAATACAAAATTAGACAAACAGTTTTTGAACTATACAATTTCAAAAAAGTGTATTTTTAATTTCTAGACAACGTTTAGGTTAAGTTAGTTCAACAATTTTGATCTATGTAAAAAAATTTATGCACTTGCTGTGTTTTACAATTCGAAATTTTATTTCAAACTAATATTGAGCATATAAAAATTAAAAACTATTTTACCCATGAAGTTATAATTCAGTAAGAAAGTTTCAGAAATGAGTAAAAATATTTTGATTTACGTAATTAATATTAGAATTATAGCCAAACATTCAAAGTGAAATTAACATTAATTTTTGACAGCTCTCCGATTTGACTAAATGGACCATATGTTCAAAATTGCTGTTATCACTTTCCCCATATTTTGAAGGTCAAATAAGCAAAGTGAAAATATGTATATTTGTTGAAGTTTTTTTTTCGCAAGCTCACTGTACCAGGAATGGATTTAAGTCATCTTGTATTAGTTCCAGCTAAAGCAAGGAATATCTTCAGAACGTTCAAGATTATAAAGTTCCAATACAAGAAATTCTAAGAGCACGTCATTACATCTGTGAACTTCTCGTACATGAATATAAATTTGACTACGATTTATCAACATTTAATTGTAAATTCTTATAAATAAATAGTTAAACCATTTAGAGAATAAAATTAAAAAGTTTTATTTCTTATTTTATTCTCTTCACTATACTGAAGTATAAAGGAATATAGCAAGAAATGTTTTACTGTTTCAAATTTCTATTTTACTGCCATAAGTCATAAGCAAAATACGAATTACACTGCCATGGGGCAAATAATTTTATGTCTCCATACGTGGACCTCAGGTTTTAAATAAGAAAAATAATTTAATATTTCAAATGTTAAATTGCTCCTAAAGTAAGAACAAACATAAATAATATTATTTTATGATCTATTTAAATACAATGATGAAAAGATTTACTAATTATTCAGAAGAAAAAAAAGAATTTTTAAAAACAAAGTATTTTTACAATGAGATGCAATTCTAAATGTAATACCAATACATTACTGCATTAAATCTCGGTTTCAAAACTATTTTAATTATGCAAATGACGCAGAATAAATAATTATTGAAAACTGTCTAACTTAACAATAAAAAATATACAATTCTTGGGGGTAACATTTCAAAATTATGGAAAAATGTTTAAGTTATTAAATGTATTTATGTATTTTAAAAGAATACACACAAAAATATTACTAAATAGATATAAAATTGAATACTCATAATCCTTTGAAATTTCACTCGACTACTACGCTATCATAAATCTCACCTTACGTACCAAGGTACACGTACGTGGACCTGCATGTTCTTGACTTTTATTTTTAAATATTAAGTTAATACAAATTTAAAAGCTTCATACAAATCCCAGTATATCTTTACGCATGTCATAGTATGTCTTTGTGGATTTTTAGTTATTTATTCAGGTTTCTAATTTAATTTTCTAGTTTTATTTCTAAATTTCTATTCTTATTTTATTTTCATGCATTCTTAATATTATATAATAATTGTCAAAATTGTAGTGAGATTTAAGATAGGAGAACCATTTACGAATAGTAAATTTTAAACAAGTTTTTTGATGTATTTAAGTAAGAATATTTTTAGCTATTGACATTTGCTGCTAAGATATTTTAGGCATAATTACGATGTGATAGATATGAAATCATCCAGCACGTTATATCACTTATAATTATATTAATTCAAATGGCATTAGAGCCTTGTCATAATACCAACTATTTTTCCCCATCAATTATCAACTGACGCTAAGCTATATTCCACAATAAATGCATAAAGAACAAAACTTACTTAAGCAATTTTCAACAAACTACCTCAAATTAGACGTAAGAGTACAGTGCAAAACAAATAAGCAAACTTTCAAACTCAATGCTGAAATTTTAATAGAGGAGAAAAGGTAGAAGTTGGTGAGACAGCCTATGCTTCTTGTTGAGTTCATTTTTATTTATTTATTGGTACATTTGATTCGTTCATTTACGTCGCACTAGAGCTGCACAATGGGCTATAGGCGACGGTCTGGGAAACATCCCTGAGGATGATCCGAAGACATGCCATCACAATTTTGATCCTCCGCAGAGGGGATGGCACCCCCGCTTCGGTATCCCGACGACCTGCACGCGAAGTCGAACACTTTACGGTAGAACAGTTTAACGAGAACCAATACCGCACACCCTCGGTCCCTACTCAGTCTGATCCAAGTGGTCACCCACTCGCACATTGACCCCAGTCAGTGATGCTTGACTTCGGTGATCTGATCGGAACCATGTCTTAACGATCAGTCCACTGCGGGACGTCAAATAGAAAGACAGATAGCACAATACAGAGAATTACAGCGCGAAGATACATCCAGGGTAACAGCGAGATTCGAACCCGCTACCTCCACGCTCTGCACAGCGTTTGACGAGCGATACCGCTCGGCCAGGGAGACCCAGTTGATTTTTATTTATTTATTCATTTATTGGTACAACATAACATTTGCAGGCTTGTGTTCTCAATGAAGGCTCATAAACCTTTGTAAAGTATATAGACAGATAGCACAATATTCAGAAAGACAACACCAAGATACATTCAAGGCTGCAGAGGGGTTAGAACCTGCTACCTCCACGCTTCGCACAGCGTTTAGTGGGTGATACCATTCGACCAGGTAGGCCCCCTTTTTTATTTATTTATTGGTACATGCAGGTTTGCGTGTATTGCTCAGCAACTGCCCACAGAACTTCCGATTCCACATTTTTATGATCATGTACTCCGCCTAGAGTACATGATCATAAAAATGTGGGTCTTAGAGGAATCGAATTTTGAACTACAGCCCCTCTGGACCGGAGTCCGATTCTGGAACCACTTGACCACTACGGCCCTAAGAGAGATGAGTTGTGGCAGTTGTAGTTCATTTACGCGGCACTAGAGCTGCACGATGGGCTATTGGAGACGGTCTGGGAAACCTCGCGGAGGATGAGGCGAAGACCTGCCATCACAATTTTGATCCTCTGCAGAGGACCATGACGACCTGCTCTCGAAGTCAAGCACTTTACGGTAGAACAGTTTAACGAGGACCAATACCGCACACCCTCGGTACCTACGCAGACTGACCCAAGTGGTCACCCACCCGCACACTGACCGCAGCCAGTGATGCTTGACTTCGGTGATCTGCTGTGAACCGTGTCTTAACGATCGGTCCACTGCGGGACATCAGTCCACTGCGGGGCTGTGAGAGAGATGAAGTTGAAATAAATTAAAGCTATAGGGTGATCATAAAAGTAGCTGTGAGACGAGAAATAAAAGGGGGTTCATTGCATAGTTCCAAGAAGAGGCCATGAGTTTGACCCCCACCAATCGAAGACTCCCCGTGTAAGAAAAGATCACGGATACACGCTAAATCGGTCGAAATCTCAAGTCCTCCAAGTTCCCACCACAAATGAATACCTCAGGGTGTACTAGATCGGAGATTGATCGTGCCTTGATTCAGGTCAAAATTATCATCTGCGGATTCATGGATGGTGCGTGAGTGTGTGTGTCCAAGTAAAATGGGATGTAACATGTGTATGTTGCCAATAGCCCACTGTGCAGCTCTTGGGCGACGTAAATAAAACAACAGCATAATTAGCAATTTGTAGTCCTTCAAAAAAATTAGTGTTCTATTACATTGGATAGCAAAAAAATTCGTGTTCTAATACCTTGGATAGCAACAAAACTAAACGCTGCAAATCCACATCTAGCTTTGAAAAATATCTGTTGGAAACCTTTTTTTCTCACGTGATCTATGAGGCTTCACAATTAATAAATATAAATTTACTTTACTTAATGTTGATGTTGATGTAGTTCATTTACGTCGCACTAGAGCTGCACAATGGGCTATTGGCGACGGTCTGGGAAACATCCCTGAGGATGATCCGAAGACATGCCATCACAATTTTGATCCTCTGCAGAGGGGATGGCACCCCTGCTTCGGTAGACCAACGACCTGCAGTTACTTTACTTAAACCTCCAAAGAGTATAAACGGGAGAGTGCACCATATATAGAGGATTTATGGGAGAAAAACTAGAATCGTTTTGTTCAGCTTAAGAAAACTAATTCTGTTCATGGTTTGAGACACCACTGTTGCATGTTTTTCCACACTACTTGCAGGTGGGTGGGTGCTTTATTTACGTCACACTAGAGCTGCTCAATGGGCTATTGACGACGGTCTGAGAAATTTCCCTGAGGATAATCCGTATACATGTCATCTCGATTTTGATCCTCTACAGAGGAGAGGGCTCCTTTTCTTTGCTAGTCCGACAACTAGCGCGAAGTCGAGCATTTTACGGTAGAACAGTTTAACGAGGCACCTCAGTTAACGAAGCAGTTATACTACGGACCCCTGGTCACTAAGCAGGCTAATCAAAGTGGTTAACCCCGGCTTACTGACCGCAACCAGTGATGTTTGACCTTGGTGTTCTACTGGGGACCGTGTCTTACGATCAATCCACTGCGGGAGCTCTATTTGTAAGTTCATTGATAGAGATACCAACGTGGGCCAGGATCCAGACAATCGTTAGGGATAACATGATTAAAGTAGCTAAAGCAATAATTCACTGTAGAGGATTATGTTATGGGGGTGTGTGTGGAGAGCAATAATTATACCTGCAATTTTAGATTTGCTCTCTGATACGATTACATAATAGAGGTACTCTGTGACAAATGTTTTCATTGCTAGCCATATAACTAAGACACAGTCCCGGTGAAAATAGAATTTATGACATGAATTTCGGAAATATAACTCATATTTTTTTGTGTTAACCCCTGTAGTGTTAATATTATTCTTAGATTTTGAAACAGCCATAGCCAGGATTGTAAAAATATTCCATCGAGTTTGGAGAGTTTCTTGAAAGATCTCGTTGAGATCTTTCGTAGTCAAATGCGAGAGGTCATTTACATAGAAATATTCGGATGGTACATGAGAGAAAATATTATATTAACCGAAACCGTTTCAACTAAAAATGTCCTGAAACTTGAGAAATGTTGGATTTCCTTTTTAAAACGAGTAAAATGTTGCTTATACAAGAGGATCAAATCAGAGAACCTAGAGAGAACTGAAGATAAAAAACATTTTTGCTAAATATTTAATGAGAGATTGAGTTATTGTTGTTAACTCCTCACCGAGTTTCACCAATACCTCCTAAAATAGATAAATCCTCAGCACGGATTATCAAACATGAAATTTGATCCTTTAGTAGTCCAAACGTAATGACATCTTTTGTATATTTCCTTTCTGAACAGTTTAGTGGCCCGAACGTAGTGACTTCTTTATTTCCTCCACTGAGCTGTTTATGTTTGTTACGTCGGACTACTAAACTGATCCATGCTAAGGGCTTCTCTCTTCTAGGTGATGATTTCACATGACGTTTCGTAAGCTCACCTGGGAATTTCTTGTCAAAGCAAGTGATTAATGTTGTAGTCGATAGCAAGAAATCGCTCTGAGCAGTGCCGTAGCGAGCTTAACTCGCGCCCGGGGCACAATACCTTTTTAGCGCCCCCCCCCNGATGCTTGACTTCGGTGATCTGCTGGGAACCTTGTCTTAACGATCAGTCCACTGCGGGACGGAGAGTTTCTTGAAAGATCTCGTTGAGATCTTTCGTAGTCAAATGCGAGAGGTCATTTACATAGAAATATTCGGATGGTATATGAGAGAAAATATTATATTAACTGATACCGTTTCAACTAAAAATGTCCTGAAACTTGAGAAATATGCTGGATTTCTTTTTAAAACGAGTAAAATGTACAAGAGGGGATCAAATCAGAGAACCTAGAAAGAACTGGTGAAGATAAAAAAAAAAAACATTTTTGCTAAATATTTAATGAGAGATTGAGTTATAGTTGTTAACGCCTCACCGAGTTTCACCAATACCTCTTAGAATAGAGAAATCCCTAACACGGATTATCATAAACATGAAATTGGATCCTTTAGTAGTCCAAACGTAATGACATATTTTGTATATTTCCTCCACTGAGCAGTTTATGTTTGTTACGTCGGACTACTAAACTGATCCATGCTAAGGCCTTCTCTCTTCTAGGTGATGATTTCACATGACGTTTCGTAAGCTCACCTGGGAATTTCTTGTCAAAGCAAGTGATTAATGCTGTAGTCGATAGCAAGAAATCGCTCTGAGGTACTTAAAGAAAATTTTATCAAACAATCCACTTTTTAAGCGAAATTTTCGTTACTAAGCATTTGAGAATATTTTAATGAAAAGATCTCAGATTTCTCCCTTCCATACTATATTTTCCCACTGTTAAATAATTGAGGTGGAATTTCTTCTAAACACAGTCTAGTATTTCCTTTGTTACTAACAAGGATATATAAATCCCAGTCTCAGTCAACTTAATAAAAATCGCATTTAGTGCCCTTTACTTTAATAAAATTTAACAAAAATATAATACGCTACTTTACATACCATAACATGATTCTTAGAAATTTTGCATATTTGTTGACTCTTGGTTAATAATATGATTAAGCACTTTTGCAGTCAAAAACACTCAATTGCTTACAACTCCACTCAAAAATTTGGGGCGAGTTTTCTTTCAAAATATAAATATTTTGCTGGAATTTTTGTCACCTTGAGATTTTGATTTATTTACTATAAACACAATGCTACAAGGTTAAAGGATTCTTAATTTATAATTCACTTTTATTACTTTTTCAATATTTTTATTTCAGAAGTCCGAAATACTTATTCTTCGTACCTATTTCTGAATACAATAAAGATGCTGGCCTGCCAACTACTGCGTTTTTTGTAAAATATTTTATAGAGAGGTAGGCATTTAAAAACCAAAGTTTTCAGAATTTTGGGTAATATTGCCAACATATTATAAGCCTCACCCTGAAAGAGCTGGAACAAAGTGGCGTTGCTTATGAACTTTTAAATCATTTATATGTAGTGGTGTGGTGTGGAAAATAAGCTTAAATAATACATCAATATGTAAGCTTAGCTTCCACTAGAATAGGTATTTACAGAAAGCGTAGAAAGTTGGCAGCCCTGATGATGGTAATAAATAAAATTTTTCAAAACAGATTAAAAGGAAATTATTTCACTTCAGCTGAAGCTAAATATCCAGATTTGAATTAAGTATTAAGAATGCTAATATCTTCAAGACAAATTTTCAGTGGAATTTGGGGACATCAAAATTTAACGTTTCATAAAATTGTATATTCAAATTTGAAAAAAAGAAAAAAAAAAGAAAGCGAATTCCCTATTTTGTCGATACGTTCAAAAACAGTTATCAGGACTTACTTTGAACAGTTGAATATTACAATAAAAAACTTTCTTAAACTTTCAGTTTTTAAAACTGCTGTGATAAAAGATGAAGAAACCTTTTGTCTCCAATTATGCAACAATGCATTGCTTATTCAATGAACTTGTTGCAATAAACTGAAAATGAACTCAGTTTGCTCCTTTAGACTAAGGCAAGAGATTGTCTACTTAGGATAGCAATGTATAAAATTTTAAAAACAAATATCAGCATGAAAAAATTAATTTATTAAAAAAAGTAATATCAAGCAGAAGAACTATAAAATTTTCAAAAGTGACTGAAGCACTACCAAGTTAAATATCGTACAAAATGTTACTGAAATTTCATTTTTCTTAAAGTAGTTATTCTTTTTTAGGGGATTTTTCCTTTGAAGGAGGAAATTTATTAGTTCGTAAGAGAGGAGTCTCCTCTGTTGGAGAAGTTTGTTCACCTGGAGATTCGTCTGTCTCTAAAGAAGAGCCAACATCTGATGAAGTAAAAGAGGTACTCTCCGTGAGATTACCACTTGCTTTAGGCTTTGTTTCACGATCAACAAATGTAGGGATTGCACAGTAAAATTCCTTTTTCGCGATTTTTGCTGGTGGTTCACATTCTGAACCTGTAACAACTAGAGAAGATCTCTCAGGAGACAGACGACTAGGCATAATAGCACCTTTTACGCTTATCGCAACGTCTGTCACAACGCCTTTCAAGCTTGAAGCAGCGCCTGTCATAGCATCTCTTAAGGTTGAAGCAGCGCTTTTTACAGATAAACCTGACTTTTGAAGAGATTGACTAGAGTCGTTATTTTTCTTTGGGCTTAAACTCAGACTTCTATAGAATTTTGACATGGTCGATGTTGCAGTAGAAAGCCTTGATCTGGAAGTAGGTGCATTTGCCTCAGTAATTTCTGGTTCATGAATCCCTGCGGTGTCAGCTGCGCACATAACTATACTTTCTGGTTGATTAGTTCCAGCTACTGTAGTTGTTACTGCAGGAGACTCACTCTGTCGTGAAGATTGGTTCGTTGAGTCTGGTGACATATGAGAGACAGGATCATTATCAGATTGTTCCTCTTTGGATATACCATGTGCTTGTCTCTTGGAAGATTCCAAGTTTTTCTTGGTTTCCTTCTTATCAGACATCTAAAACAAATAAAGTAGTCATTTCTTTTTACATTAATATACATAGAAATTCCATTGCTCTTTTCTTTAATTATATTTAATAACATATTTAAGTTACTTGGGAATTTCAAAATCTCATCTGGTATAGACTATCAAGTACTTTAACGCCGATTACCAAAGTTATTATAAAGAAATTTTGTTACAAAACAAATTAGCCGTAAACAAAAAGGTTCCGAAAGAACCTGAAGGTCGTATCTGCATTTTTCTGAAGGTAAACTGTATACCGTAAAAAGCCACTAGTAAAGTAAATTGATAAATAAGAGTACATAAAGTATATATAATTATTAAATATGAAGAATAGATTAATATTTAGAATAATTTTAAGCAATTTTGGTACAATTATGAGTTCATTAAGATTCCCTTTGTTAATAGTTTCAAATAGATAGTCGTAAGAGTTTAAAGTTTTTGAATATGATAAAATTATCTTACATTAGTTTTACAAGATAATTTTCTTTTCTCAATAGTATTTACACAATAGTACTTCAAAATAATATTTACACATCAAAAAACATATTACTCCTGATCGGAAATGAAAGTCTAAATCAGATATTTAAGAACTAAAATGAGATAGCTTAATAGCAATCACCTGGTATCAGAATCTCAGTAAAATTTTAGATGTAATAACAAATTAAAAGCAACTTTTGATAAAGATTGAATCATAATTCTGAATTTCCATCCCAAAATTTTATAAATTTTAATGTGCGATTTGAAACATTTGCATAAACTAAAAATTAGCATTACATAGTTCAATTAGTGTACTTGCATAAACTTGTCTCAGACTTCTTGAACTTAGCCAGCAAAGTAAAACTATGGTACCCGTCAATCAACAAAAACATTCGAAATATTACAGTTCAGTAGGAAAACTGATATTTCGAAGGATTCGAGCAAAAACCAGTTATTCGATCAAAATTTACTCGTACTCGATCCAACTTAATATCTATTTGTTTTTACTCTGTTTCTTTGGTAAAAAGAAGATTATGCGGTAATATCCCGGTTCGTAAGGTCTTTAGAAAAATTAAAAAGTATATGCTAAATTACGACATAGAATGCTTAACTAGTATTTTTTTTAAATCACTTTCTTTTGCTAAATATATTGAGCTGACCAATGTTTAGAGCTTATAAGTTGTCAAAGGAATAAAAGCATCACCTTAAAATGCAAAAATAATTCCAAAAATTTCTAATTTGTTTCAATAAAGATCCTCAACTTACAATTATTCAGAGATAACAAGAAAAACAGATCCTTCCAATAAGCTATAACGAATAAACTTTACAATAGAAGAGGTTACTAGAAATCAAAAGTAAAAACACAAACCAGGAAAAGATAACAAACTTTCAAATATAATCCTGTAAATTAAATGGTAATTAAAGTAAGTAGGTGGAAAATTGGTTTATTGGAATTACATACATTTGCTGGCTTGTGTGCTCATTTAGGCTTATAAACCTTTGTCAAGTATGAGGACAGATAGCACAATACAGAGAAGGACAGCACGAAGATACATCCTGGGTAACAGTGGGATTCGAACCCGCTTTACTTCCACGCTTTGAGCAGCGTAAGTGGTAAATGAGAGCTTCTCGCTTTTCACCTTATGACTATAAAAATCATTCTAAATTAGCGGCCTCACTTGCCGAGCCATCTCACTGACCCGCCAAATACCTTGTACCCAGAGGTAGGGGGTTCGAATCCCACCGTAACCCTAGGTGAATCTCCGTGATGTCCTTCTATAATCTTTGCTATCTTTTCTACTTGACAAGATTTTATAAGTTGTCTTTGTAAAGAGCACACAAGCCTGTATATATGTAACGATAAAAAAAATGTAACCAGGCTCGTGTACTCAATACAAAGAACAACTTATTAACTCTTGTCAAAGAAAAAAAAGAACATATAGCACAAATTAAATAAGAACAGTACAATAAACTGGCTACCTCCTTGTATCAGAGCATTTGGGGGAAGGACCATACCCCTCAGTCACAGAAGCTTGTTCTTGGGTGGGGAGGAAGATCTCTGCCCCATGAGTGTTGTTGTTGTAGTTATAGTTCATTTACGTCGCACTGGAGTTGCGCATTGGGCTATTGGCGACGGTCTGGGAAGCAATCCCTGAGGATGATCCGAAGACATGCCATCACAATTTTGATCCTCTGCAGAGGGGATGGCACCCCGCTTCGGTAGCCCGATGACCTGCACGCTAAGTCGAGCACTTCACGGTAGAACAGTTTAACGAGGATCCATACCGCACTCACTCGGTCGGACTGATCCAAGTGGTCACCCACCCGAACACTGACCACAGCCAGTGATGCTTGACTTCGGTGATCTGCTGGGAGCCGTGTCTTAACGATCAGTCCACTGCGGGACATGAGCCGGTGTGAAAAGTGGCTTCTTTCCTTGTAGAACTCTTGTTGTGTAGGATGCTCAAAGAAATCTGGCACTAATAAGTTGTCTGAAATCAAGATGATAAATTCTCCTAAAGATCCAATTCGAAAAGCACAGTGGAAAAATGCTGTTGGACTGAAGGATTGAACTTCCACAGTATACTCTCAGTTATGCAGTGGCCATTTTATTGGCGGTAAGATCACTTTTCAGATGTAAAAAATGCATTATACTTTCTTGATTTGTTGTTATGAAATATATTCTTGTATGAACAGCATGCTAAATAAGTATTGTATGGTAATTCTATGGCAATACATTTTAATGTTATTAAGTCCTCATGTTATACGATTTTAATAAATTACTGGACTTATATATTACTGATAACAACGTTAAATTTAGCCCGATAACCGCTTTCTTTTGGAGAGATTGCGTGCTATTACCGATAATTAAGTTTATCCCCTCCACCTTAGACGAACTATGCAATCTGCACCTGAGAAGCCCGGCTTCCGAGGGGAGGCGAGGGAGCGCATAGGGAGTCTTCCCCTATTTTATATATTAGTAAATATTTTTCTTTTTTATCTTTATCTCTTTTTTTTGTATTCGTATTAATTTATACGTATCATATTACGATTTTACTTGTTTATACGCAACCCTTTTTAATTATCTCAATTCAAGATTTAACTTTAGTTAAACACCGCACCACCCTTCCCATCCTCCAATTATTTTATTTTCGATGAAGGAGTTTTCCACTCGGACAGAAACTCCGAAAAGACTGCATTAGTTAGTAGGTAATTAAGTCCTCATCGTAAGCATTCGTTTTCTGTTTGCCTGTGAACAATGTAATGTTTCATATCTTGTAAAATGCCGGCCAGGTGGCCGAGTGATTAGCGTGCCTGATTGCGAAGCCATTGGCTGCGGGTTCGAATCCCGCTCTGGGAATGGATATTTCTCTCTCTCTCTCTCTCTCTCTCTCTCTCTCTCTCTCTCTCTGGTGTCTTCTGATGTGTGAATGTATGAATGTGGCCCACCCTATGAACGGGTAATTGTGGCAGTGTGGCGTGGGTAATGTTGCTCGCCTCCGTGACTTTGGTTCACAGGTGCCGACTGGGTAACGATAAATGAGCAACACTTCCGTCATCTTCTAAGTCAAAGAACGAAAGTTCAGTGCCTGCCATTATTTAAAAAAAATATCTCGTACAATCTATCCTCTGCATGCCTCTTCGCTAATCGTTTACGTCAGACAACTACTAGCTCGAGAGCATTTACTGAAAAGGTTGTTTGCTAATTGTTGTGAAACAGCTAAAATTTATGTCTGCATGCGTAAAACACGTAGATTTTGGAATAAAAAATGAAACAAAGTGACTGAAGTTTGCTCAAAACAAAAAAAAAATTCAAAGAATAAGTGTGATAAGTATGTTTATAATTGTGTATTTTCATGTTTAGTGGTCCCGTAGTGGACTGATCGTTAAGACACGGTTCCCAGCAGATCAACGAAGTCAATTATCACTGGCTGCTGTCAGTGTGCGAGTGGGTGACCACTTGGATCAGTCTGCGTAGGGACCGAGGGTGTGCGGTATTGGTCCTCGTTAAACTGTTCTACCATAAAGTGCTCGACTTCACGTGCAGGTCGTCGGGCTACCGAAGCGGGGATGCCATCCCCTCCCCGGAGGATCAAAATTGTCATGGCATGTCTTCGGATCATCCTCAGGGATGTTTCCCAGACCGTCGCCAATAGCCCATTGTGCAGCTCTAGTGCGACGTAAATTAAC